AGCGTGATGTTGCTGGCGACGTTGGAGGTCAGGCTCACGTCCGAGAAGGGCTGGCCGCGGCAGCCTTCCCTGGCGCTGCTCAGCGAGATGGTGGTGACGCTGGGGCCCAACCTCACATGCGAGAAGGGCGGGCAGTGGCAGCCAGCCCTGGCGATGCATCAGAAGCAGGCGGGAGGAACGGCAGTGGCGGCAGCAGTGGCATGCAGGAAGAGGAAGGGATAGCAGTGGCAGAATGATGGGAGGAGGGACAGGACTGGGCTGTGCAGACCTGGCGGCCCCTCCCGATGACGACGACGGCTTGCGTGGCGCTGCTGAACGAGCTCCTGTTCGCGAAGCTGGAGCCCGTCATCATCGCCCACGGCTCGGTGAACAACGCGTGCGATAAGAGCAGGCGTTGGCAGTGGCAGCCAACAGTGGCGCTGCTGAGCGAGTTGTGAAGCTGGAGCCCAACATCATCACCTACGGCATCGTGAGCATCACGAGCGAGAAAAGCAGGCGTTGGCAGCGGCAGCAGGTTGTGGCGCTGCTGAGCGAGATGGCAGTCGTGAAGCTGGATTCCAATATCAGCCGCTACAGCACTGATCAGCGCCTGCGAAAAAGGGGGAAAAGGGGCAGTGGCAGCCAGCTCTGGCTCGGTTCAGCGAGATGTTGTGAGTGAAGCTGGAGCCCACCATCATCGCCCACGGCACTGCGAACAGCGCCTGCGAGAAGAGGAGGTTTCGGCAGTGGCAGCAGGCGGTGGCGCTGCTGAGCGAGATGCTCGCGTAGAAGTTGGAACCCGCCATGGTATCTCCACCAGTCAACCTCACGCGCGAGAAGGGCCGGCAGTGGCAGCTCGCCATGGCGATGCTCAGCGTGATGCTGGTGGCGACGCTGGAGGTCAGGCTCACGTCCCAGAAGGGCTGGCCGTGGCAGCCTTCCCCGGCGCTGCTCAGCGAGATGGTGGTGGCGCTGGGGCCCAACTTCACATGCGAGAAGGGCGGGCAGTGGCAGCCAGCCCTGGCGATGCATCACAAGAAGGCGGGAGGAACGGCAGTGGCGGCAGCCGTGGCATTGAGGAAGGAGGAAGGGGTAGCAGTGGCAGAATCACGGGACCAGGAATTCAGAATTTCGAAGCGGATCCGGCTTTGGTCACCAGGGCGACAGACGGCCATCCGGAGGATCCTGCCACTGTTGCAATGAGGCCCGCAAGGCCAGAAGGGAACGTGGCTTCGATATAATCGAATCTCCAAGGTGCAATGAGGCCCGTTAGGCCAGATGCAAATCGTGGTGTCTCGAGTCCCAGCCCCTTCCCCGACGACCTCCCTGAACACGGACCACCTCGACGCCCCGTGGCGACGGCAGACGACCATCCAGAGGATCCTGCCACGGCTGAAATGGGGCCCGTTAGGCCAGAAGGGAGCGCGGTTTCGATATTATCGAATTTGGAACACGCACCACCTCGACGTCCCGCGACGACGACAGGCGACCATCCGGAGGGTCCTGCCACGGCTGAAATGGGCCAGTTAGGCCTGAAGATAACGTGGTCTCGATATTATCGAATTTCCAAGGCGAAATGGGGCCCGGCTCTCAGCGCCCTGGCCCTTTCCTCCATGGCAGCGGCGCGGGCTCGAGCACCGAAGAACGGCGACGGCCAGGCCGCAACGGCCCGCCGACGCGTTCGCCTGGCAACGGGTGGAGGCCCGGCCCTGCCCTGGCGACTGGCGGCTTCCCTGTTCCCCTTCCGTCCCTGAGTCGAAACCCAGCCCCTGGCGACTCCGTCGCCGCTGGCGGGCCCGGCGCGCGGCAAACGACAGGCGGCGGACTCAGCAGCAGCAGAAGCAGGGGCAGAACCAGCAGCAGCAGCGGCAGCCGCCGCTCTAAGGACCCCCCGCCGACTACCCCGCCACGGGAAGCGAGGCCCGCCGCTCGCCAAGGGCCCGAACCCCTGGACCCCGACACGGGGCAGCAGTTGTATAGAACCAAGATCAGCTGCATCCAGTGGAGTCTCCCCAGGGAGACCCCTGGCGAGACGATAATGCGGCTCCAAGCCACCCTGGGTGCGATGTTCACAGGCGCCCGGCACGCGTTCGCCAAGCAGCACGGGAAGGGCACGCTCGACCCGCGACGACGCGACCAGCAAACCTGCGTCAGTTTCCTGCACCCCTTCCGCAACCACAACTCCGACGTGAGGGCCATGCGCGACGCGCTGAACCGCGGCGTCAATTGGGTCCAGTTGCAGCAGCGATTCCCGAGCCGCAGAGAAGGCGCGGGCAAGGGGCGCCAGGTGCCCCCCTGCAGCGAGGCGCGAGGAGCGGACCAGGGTGACGGGCGCGAAGGGGACCAGGCGCGCAGCTCCGGGCACCATGACACCAGGACTGGAAAGCGCCCGCGGCGCTGACCAGCCGCCGACCTGACCCCTGCGCCCCGCGGCAGCACGACGCAACCGTCCCCGCACCCCCATCACCTGCACCCCCGTGCCCTTGGGGCACGCACGTTCCCTGGGCTTCGGCTGCTCGCCGCTCCACCTGGTCCCCGTCTTTCTTCTCCTTCCCCCCCTCTCTTGTCTTCAAAGGATCTGGGACTCTGTGCCCCGCCTGTGCCCATCGGGGACCGTTCCCCCGGTGAGCACCTGCGACGTGGACTGAAGCGACGACGACAGCAGCTGTCCACCCTGTCTTTACCTGCTATGGGACCCTGTGTCCTACCTGTGCCCCGCGGGGCCCTGTCCCTCGCGTGAGCACCCACGGTGCGGGCTGATGCGACTACGGCTGGCGTGGGATGCCGGCCTCTCTCCTCCCCGTTCGATTATTCCTCTCCCCCTCCTGCTCGCTTCCCCCCCTTCCGTGGCGGCAGCGCCCGGCACTGCGCGGCTTAGGCCCGGTGCGGGGTGCTGCGCCTTGCCGCCTCGGCGGCCCCGCCTGCCATGGCGCTGCGCGGCTTAGGCCCGGCCCTTGGCTTCGCGGCCTGCGGCGCCTGCGCGTCCTGTTTGGCACCGCCTGTACTCCGGGCTTCGCCCTACATCGCGTTTGGTTGCCCGCCGTCTTCGGGCTGACGCAGAGAGATTTTATCCTCGCAGCTCACCGGCTCCCAGTCGGCCTTGGGCGGCCAGCTCTTTGGAGGCCGCACTTTAAGCAACTGCACCGGGTCGTGGACTAGGCACTTGCACCGTATTTTCCTTGCACCAGCTGGTGGCACAACGTTGCTCATTGCCTACGTGGTGCTCCCTTTTTTCCGTGGGCGCCGACCTGGTCATGTGGCGCGTCTCCACCGCAGTACTTGAGGATGGTGTTCACGATGCGCCGCCGACGGCAACACCGCTCTTCCCCCTACCGGGACTTCGCCCTCGGTTCGTGTACAAGGCGTTCCTTGCCCTGCACGCCCAATACGGCACCGCCTGTACCCCTAGCTTCGCCCGCTCTCGGCCGCCTGAGGCCCCGCCTTCCTGCGCCCTGTCTCCTCAATTAGTGCTTTGCGCAGCCCGTTTAGCTCTTACCGGTAGAGGTTCGCTCTCGGCCCACAGATCAGAAATTGTTTCTCGACCCTGACCCTACGGATCTGCGTGAGGGGTGCCGTCGAATTTCAGAAATGTGGCAAATCCCATTTGTTTTTGGACCCTGACCTTGTCGATCTGCGTGAGGGGTGCCGCCGAATTTCAACAATGTGGCAAATCCCATTTCTTTTGGGACCCTGACCCTGCCGATTTGCGTGAGGGGTGCCACCAGATCTCAGAATTGTGGCAAATGCCATGTGTTTTTGGACCCTGCTTCCGCCGATCTGCGTGGGGGGTGCCGCCGAATTGTACACATGTTGCAAATCCCATGTGTTTTTGCACCGTGACCCCGCCGATCTGCGTGAGGGGGGCCACCGAATTTTAGAAATGTGGCAGGTCCCATGTGTTTTTTGACCCTGACCCTGCCGATTTGCGTGAGGAGTGTCAGCGGATTTTAGAAATGTGGCACATACCGTGTTTTTTTTTTGACCCTGACCCTACGGATCTGCGTGAAAGGGTGCCACCAGAAATTAGAAATGTGGCAAGTCCCATGTGTTTTTTGACCCTGACCGCTGATCTACGTGAGGGGTGCCACCGAATTTCAGACATGTGGCAAATCTCATGTGTTTTTTGCACCCTGACTCCGCCGATCTGCGTGAGGGGTGCTACCGGATTTCATCAATATGGCAAATCCAATGTGTTTTTGGACCCTGATCTCGCCGATCTGCGTGAGGGGTGCCTCCGAATTCCCGAAACGTGGTACATCCCATGTGTTTCTGGACCCTGACCTCGCCGATCTGCGTGAGGGGTGTTATTTTTTAACCACCCCAGCAATTCAGAGCATACGATTTATCCGTGGTAAAAATGCTCGGTTTGGGCCTCCCCGCCTCGCGCGGTCCATCAACAAGGAACAGTAAGCAGCAAGAACTCAACAAGGAACAGTAAGCAGAACTGTAACAGTGGAAACTGGAAGCTGCAACTGGTACAGGAAACTGCGAATTCCCGGCCTACAGCCTGGTGGCCCCACAAGGGGGCCGGCGGAGTAAAGAAGTGCGGGGACGATTTTTTAAATTTATTTTCGACTATATTTGAGTATGTGTTGAGTATTTTTTTTGTCGTCCACAATCCGCCTGTAGGGGGAACACGCCCGACTTAAACAAGTCTCACATCCCTCCCGACCGCGGCCTCGCAGGCTGGGCCCTTCGGCCGAAGCCCTACGGACACGCGGCGTCTCTTCGCGGATGCCCCGCGTGGAACGCACCCTGTGCGACCGCGTATCCGCGGCATCGCGCCTCGGAATCCAGACCGCGAGGTTCGCAACTCGCAACTCAGGCGATCACAAACATGGGCCAAGGGGGCGTGGATTAGCGACGGGTCCCGTTTCCAGGGGAGATAGCGGATCTCCGCCGCCGAAGGAGGCGGCACTGGCCGCACTTTAGGGAGGGCGCTTCCCCCGATCCATGGATTTGGTGACCGCGCGCCGAATCCATGGATCGCTAATCCATGTTTGCGCGCCCCCGAGTGACAGGAGCTGGTGACCCTGGTCACCGTGTTGAAGCCCATCCCGGACGAGGAGGAGAGGAAACTGTGGCTGCAGGCTGTCCGCCAGGCTCGTCGGCGCGACCGCAAGGAGATCAAGCAGACGGTGCTGGAGCAGGCCAGGGCTGGACCTCAGCGCTGTTTTGCTGAACTTCGGCCGTGTCTTGTTTTTTTGTTTTGACACGGGGGCACAGGAAAACAGGTAACGCAGAACGAGACACAGAGCGAACACAGCACGAAACACGATGTTTAGGTCCAGCCCTGGAGCAGGCCGTCAAGATCGAAGACCCGAGAAAGTTGGAGTCAGTTCGGCAGGGTATGAAGGCGCTCCGGAAGTACCTCGAGAAATACCCCGACACCGATGCCGCCTTCAAGGATCTTGACGTCAATGGCGACCACTTCATCGACAGGAAGGAATTCAAGAAGGCGTTCGCCGACAGCACCCTGGACAAGACGCAGCTGAACAGGCTGTTCGACCACTTCGACGCCAGCAAAGACAAGCAGCTCGACTTGCGCGAGTTCCTCCAAGCCCTGTCCCTGAAGGAACTGTCGGTGAAGGACCGTGTCAAGCAGATGCTCGGCGACCAGAGCGAGGGCCAGAGCAGTGGCATGAAGAAGGCGACGGGTTTCGAGAGGGACGATGGGGACGGAAGCCAGTTGCGCTGCCGCGCGATCCCGCCACCGCGCTCAGGCGTCGAGGGGGGGCATGCCTTGGGTGGGAAAAGGGGCCACGGACCCCCCCAGCCCGCCAGCTGTATATTTGCCGCCACTTCCGCCCTGGAAAGTGGGCGTATCGTGGTCTCGAGCGTCTGGGGGCCCCACTTCTTCATTTGAAAGAGGCTAGGAGGGCCCGACGCTCTCTACGGTGAAGGCAGTGGATCAGGAATCCAGGGTCTGGAATCCCGTGGAAGTCCAACCGAGGATTGGCCATGGATATCTCCGCCGCCCTCAGCAGATGAGAAACCCCCCAGGGTATGAAGCCTCTGGGACACATTCCTTACCCAACGACCTCACTGTAACCGCTGCAAGCGTGGTGTCGGACATCCATCAAGCTGTTGGGTCACAAGGTCATCGCGACAAGGGCTCGGCGCGGCTTGGGCGCACTGATCTCCACGAGCCGCGAGGACTTGAACCCAGGGGAGCTCCAGGTAACTTGTTCTTTTTTGTCCGTGCTATCAGTAAGTGTTTTGCTTTATGCACATGCACATTCTTGTATATGTTTGAACGGTTATATATATATATATATGTAAACGACATCGATGTGCATTTACACATATACACATACATGTATATATATATGTACATGTATGTACGTATGTATGTATGTATGTATGTATGTATGTATGTATGTATGTATGTATGTATGTATGTATGTATGTGTGTACGTATGTACGTATGTACGTATGTACGTATGTACGTATGTACGTACGTACGTACGTACGTATGTATGTATGTATGTATGTATGTATGTATGTATGTATGTACGTACGTACGTACGTACGTACGTACGTATGTACGTATGTACGTATGTACGTATGTACGTATGTACGTATGTACGGATGTACGGATGTACGGATGTACGGATGTATGCACGTATGTACGGATGTACGGATGTACGGATGTATGCATGCATGCATGCATGCATGTATGTATGTATGTATGTATGTATGTATGCATGTATGTATGTATATGTGTGTATGTCTATCCTGGGGGGGCAGGCCCAGGGCCAGGAAACAGCTGCCTCGACCCTCCAAAGTGGGGACCGGGGCCCCAGACTGCTTCCAAGACCCCCTTGTGACGGCCCTGGCCATCCCCTTACGGGGCGGAAAGGGCCCCAAGAGGGCGCAAGGAGGCCCAAGAGGACCCCAGAGCCGTCGAACGATGAATTCAAAATGCCCAAGACGGCCTCCGGACGGCTCAAGAGGGCTCCAAGAGGCAAAACACATAGATTTTCCGCTGTTTGTTTTCCATTGCTTTGTTTCCAGCCATCTTGTGGTGTTGGGTCCTCGTTTTGAAGAGAAAGCGCCCCGCGACCCTCTCTCACTCCTCCTTCCTCCTACCCCTCCTCCCTCCTCCCTCCTCCCTAGCGGCCGGTACACCATTTCGCCCCATGGGGAGTTCCACCGAAGGTCCAAGTGGCGCAGTCCGCATGCGGCTCCCCCGCCCAGTACAGCGTTTCGTGGCCTCATAGGGAGCTCCACCGAAGGTCCCAGTGGTGCTGCCCGCATGCGGTTTCCCCACTCATTGCAGCGCTTCCTGGCAGCATAGGGAGCTCCACCGAAGGTCCCAGTGGCGCAGTCAGTCCGCATGCGGTTCCCCCACCCAGTACAGCGTGTCGTGGCCCCATAAGGAGCAACACCGAAGGTCCCAGTGGCGCAGTCCGCATGCGGTTCCCCCACCCAGGAAAGTGTTTCGTGGCCCCATAGGAAGCTCCACCGAAGGTCCAGTCCGCATGCGGTTCTTGCGCCCAGTGCGGTGTTTCGTTGCCCCATAGGATGCTCCACCGAAGGTCCCACGGGCGCAGTCCGCATGTGCTTCCCCTGCCCAGTACAGCGCTTCGTGACCACATAGGGAGCTCCACCAAAGGTCCCAGTGGCGCATTCCGCATGCAGTTCCCCACCCAGTACAGCGTGTTGTGGCCCCATCGGGAGCAACACCGAAGGTCCCAGTGGCGCAGTCCGCATGCGGTTCTTGCGCCCAGTGTGGTTTTTCGTGGCCCCATAGGAAGCTCCACCGAAGGTCCCAGTGGCGCAGTCCGCATGTGCTTCCCCCGCCCAGTAGAGCGATACCCATGCTCAGGCTGGTGGGGCTCATGCTGACCTGTGGAGCAAGATGCGGAACGCCGTAGCAGCGCGGCCACATGGCTCCTGCCGTCTGCCCGAGCTTGCGTGGGTGCCGTCTCACCTATCGCCTGAGAAGGCGGTGGGGCGCGGGCTGAACGGCATGCACTGGCTGGCATTTTCTGGGCCGACGTATTCGCCGCATCCGCCACGCTCGCCACGCGGCAGGAACCTGGAGCTACTGCTTGCACCTGCCTTGCAGACGGAGCGATTTGGCGCGTGAGCAGCCAGCCGTGTGGCTCGGGTCGGGGCGTGGGATCCGCCGCCCGACGAGCAGCACGTCCCGCGCCGCCAGTGGTCCCTGCCACAGCTCCGCATCATCCAGCATGACTGCGTCCAGACGGGTGCCTACAGGGAGGGAGTGATGTGCCTGCGATGCGGGAAAAAGGGCAGTCACGGCGCGCACCGTGCGCAGGCTCGACGCGACGGCATGCCACGCCACGCGGCCCGGGTGCCTTCGAACGGTGGCAGTTGCGGGCACCGACAACATCGCGCAGGCAGGCGCGGCCCTCCAGCCAGCCCAGCCGAACCAGGCCAGCAGCCCAGTGGGGGAGGTGCGGCCAGAAGACCTAGATGGGAAGGTCCGGTACCTGCTGCAGGCGGCGCAGGGGCCTGTGCGGCCGCCCAGCGAGGAGCAGCATGCCCCATCCAGAGCTGGCCCCTCCTCAGGCGCAGAGGAGTGGAGCGCGGGCGGCACTCTGGCCTCACGCGCTGTCAAATCAGAGCCTCCAGGTGGTAGTCCTGCTGCGCGAGCGGTTGGTTGCCATGCTGGCGGGTCTTTGGCGGCGCCCGCGCCTCGAGGTGCCGCGGTTGCGATGGCCGCTGCGGGGCCAGGGTGCCCCGCGGTGAAGGTCGAGGCCGAGGTCTTCGACGGGGGCGGCGGCACCCAGGGCGGCGCCGAGGAGATGCGGGGCGAGGTGCGTGCCCCCCCTGGCGTGGAGAGGTGCGACCAAGAACGTGGCGTTGGGGCGACCTGGAAGAGGCAGCGGTCAGGCGTCGGCCAGCGAGGACAGGGTCAGCCACGGCGCGAAGAGGAGGCGCCCCACGAGCTCCCAAGCTCGACAAACTGTCACATCGGAGCCTCCAGATGGTAGTCAGCTGCGCATGCGGTTGGGTGCCCTAATAACGGGTCGCTGGAGGGACCTGCGCCTCGAGGTGCTACGGTTGTGATGGCCGCTGTGGGTCCGGTTGTGATGGCCGCTGTGGGTCCTGGACGCACCGCGCTGAAGGGCGACGCCGACGTCTGCCAGGACGTAGACAGCACCCTGGTCGCCTACCACGTGATGGCGGGCGAGGAGCTGGACCACCCCGACGTCGAGATCGACCGGGAGGCGGGCGGGCGCGGACCACCGGGCGCGCAGGTGCCGGTGCATCAGGACCATGGAGGTGGTGAGCAGCCTGTTGGCATGGGACGCCCCCGCCCACCGTGCCCGAGCGCGGCCAGGCTAGGCAGTTGAGGCATGATCTGCGGGACTGGGCGGCCTTGCGGTTTGAGGGGGACGTGCTCCACGTGGTCAAGAAGCCAGCTGGCAGCAGTGTGAGGCATTTCTTTGTGCCATACTGCGAGAAGGGAGCAACGTGCCGCTGCGGGCTATTCTGTTGAGCTGGTTCCGTGGGCGGTCGTTAGGGTTGATCGTGACTGAGCTATTTGCGAGCGCCTGGCGGCAGAGTGCTGGCCGACGGGATGCTTATTTCACCGGGCTTTTTGGGGCCACGTCAGGGGGGGAATGCGCGATAGCCCACCATCAGAGCAGCAGCTGTGTTTCTCCGTTACGGCGTGGCCTGCCAGCCCGCGGCTTGTCCAGAGTGCGACGGGGGCGCGAAGCTGGAATCTGCAGAGGACGGGAGAGGCGGTTGGAAGACCTTCCAGTGGACGTGCAAGTCCGTCGGCCACCAGCATTTCCAGCAGAAGATGAACAACCGCGGTTTCCTGTAGCAGACCCACGTCAATTCGTGGATGCCGTTTTTGCACTTCGTGAACCACTTACGGCTTGGCAGGCACTACGCGCACATCATCGAGGAGATGCAGGCGACGCATGGCAACATCAACGAGAAAACCACGCGCAACTGGCGCCGCATCTACCAGGAGTCTCTCGGGAAGGCGCTGGCGTCATTGGGCGCGATCGTGACCGGCGGTGCAAAGGGGGGCGTGGTCGCGATGGACGAGACAGTAGTGGGCGCGCATCCGATCGACGGGTGGTCGTTCCAGACGAGGAGCATCAGCGAAGGCGGGGGGGCCGCAGCGCGGGCAACGCCGCAAGGAACAACTGAGAAGTTGGGGCGAAAGGGCACCCTGAAGAAGTTGCCACGCGCGCACCTACTACAAGACGCAGAAAGTTGTCGATGGGGTCATTCCAGCTCGTCGACGCGAAGAAGGCGTCGATGAAGGCGACTGGCAAGGAGAGGAGGCACGCCGCGAAGCAGACCGCCAAACCAGCATAGACGACACTCGTCATGACGAAGACCAAGAACACGGCATTGAAGAAGCGGCCCGCTGGAAATTTAAAGAGCAACGGAAGGTGGCTTTGGCTTGGCATCCTCGTCGGCAACGAGAGCAAGGTGCACGCGCACGCGAACAAGGAGAAGATGGTCACTTATCGTTTGCGGCCCCGTGCAGCGGACGCGCAGGAGAACGAGCCCAGGGGGTTCGAAGAGATCAAGGACGCCGTGCAGTCGCGCGTCCGCAAGGGCACAATGGCGGCGCACGACGGGTGGACCTCCACTGATGCCGCGGTCGAGGAGTAGGGCTACGAGCACCCCCCGCCTGTCCGTCACGAGGGGAACGTGCACCGCGACAACGAGACGGGCTTCCACACCAACGACGCTGAGAGCGAGAATTCCAGGCTGAAGGCGTGGAACCGCCTGCGTTGCGGGAAGCTGAACATAACCCCAGGCGGCATGGACGAAAACATCTACTGCATCAGCGTGGGCAGCGGCATTGGGGACGTCGTGGATTGTCTGGCGCACTCCAACGATTTCGCCGCGAAGAATAAGCTTCTCGGATGAGCTGTGGGCTGCGCGGGCCAGAAGCATGCATTATGAAACGGCTATGCCGACGGAGGCAGACAGAAAAACACGCGCGCTCTCAGCCCTGCCTCGCCATGTGTGTGTGTGTGTGTGCGTGTGTGTGTGTGTGTGTGCGTGTGTGTGCGTGTGTGTTTTCTTTCAGGGGCGCGGGAATGCCCGAACACCTGGGCGTTCCGGCATCCCGCGCCCCTGTGTTTTCTAGAGGGGGCCGGTTGTCAAGGGTCGTCATCCTTCTCGTTCTCCTCCTTCCTCCTCCTCCTGCTTCCTCCTGCCTCCTCCTC